TTCGAGCCCCGCCACCGCCACCCGACTTTGGTGGTAGGCAGCTCTGCTGTCGTCCGGTTCTATACCACACCCAACCTATCGGGGCCTCATGTGGTTTAGCACTCCAAGTCCCGGGGCTTAGGTTACCGGTGCTACGCATGTCACCAGGTAGGTTACCACGGCGAGCGATGTTCGCCGAAGCAGATACCCTACGCATGTCACCAGGTAGGTTACCACGGCGAGCGATGTTCACCGAAGCAGATACCGAGTGGAAGAAAGCCAAGGGGGGTCAAGTTAAGACCTGGCACGAGGGTATGAAAACCCTACAGGAGCTAGGTCACATAGGTCCTGTTAGGCTCCCTGGCTGGGGACCTCGGGATGATCGTAACCGATGGTCAGAGACACTGAGCAATATGGCTGGGTGTCGTAAACAGTGGCGTTCGTCCATCTCCTCAATTTCTTTGCAACCTTTTAAACAGTGGCGTTCGTGCATCTCCTCACTTTCTTTGCAACCTTAGTCCACTGAACTTCTCCGACAGTGGCGTTCGTGCATCTTCTCAATTTCTTCCCACCCTTAGTCCACTGAACTTCTCCATTTGCATCTTCTCAATTTCTTTCCAACCTTAGTCCACTGAACTTCTCCATTTTCTGTTCGAATCGTCGATGGTTAGAGACACTGAGCGATATGGCTGGGTGTCGTAAACAGTGGCGTTCGTGCATCGTAACCGCTGGTTAGAGACACTGAGCGATATGGCTGGGTGTCGTAAACAGTGGCGTTCGTGCATCTCCAATTTCTTCCCAACCTTAGTCCACTGAACTTCTCCATTTTCCTTCAAATCCACTTTCAACTTTCCTTTCTTCTCCTATTCATCATCCAAATGGGCAGCCAAAAGACAGCAACCAAAACCGGCGCACGAAAGTGCATGGTTAATGGTTGTTCAAACTGAAACTGAAACTACGGGTTTCCATCACTGAACAGCAGGTCCTCGTGATTATGGGGTTCCACCCCGTCTACTGTTCATCACATGAAAGTGTGTAATAAAAAAAGTAGCAAACGAAACGTGAACTGAAAAGCTGAGAAGCACTGGATAATGTAAAATGAAAAGCGGTCTGATGAGCTTCCGGGTGACCGAGTTGATAGCTTGCCTGCGTTCTGCCTGTCAGGTCCGGGGTTCGATCCCCAGTTGGGTCGATGGATTCACTCACTGCTGTTGATGAGACCCAACCAAGTCTAAACAGCTGTCCAGTGCTTCCAAGCTTTTCAGTTCACGCTTGATTTGTTATACACACAACGAATTCACCCATGAAATTGAAGCAAATCCTCCATTACCCAATTGATACAGGGGAATCGACAGATTACAAACGAATAAATAACCCCACACAATGCAACTAACAGGTACCTATGTCTAAATGAATGCGCCTTTAATGGAAATCATAATTTGTAATACGCATGTGAGTGTGTGTGTGTGTGTGTGTGTGATCGGTACTTCGTGCATTCTCATCACGGAGCTGGTTGAGACAATCTACCCACGTGCACTCATTGCTGTGCTTCCAGTATAAATACCACCGTCAGAATAAGATTGACTNACTTGAATCAAAGTCAATAAAAACATACATGATAATTGCGCGTGAGACATTGTAAAATTTATTGCGTGAGTTCCAGAAACGTTTCTCTAGTCACAACATTTTTTCAGTTTCGCAAGCATAAGCATCCCGCATTTCACAGATAATTATATCGACAACAATCTGTAATTTGAAAAAGACATGAACAGCACTTATGCCGCTACACAGCATATATTTTGGTCTAGGAGCCACGAGATTATATCCACAAGTTACCTACCCAAATCATGCTTACCATATCGTACTGCCAAGTAAAAATTCAGGTAAGCTGTAAGCGTTTTCGGATAGTTTGAATGCCAGTGCAGTCAAAATCGGTGTGTATTTTACAACTTTAATGTGTTAAATGCTGCTACAAGATTGGGCTGGTTGAGCATCCAGCCTCACTCTTGCTGGGGAAGTAATTGACCAAGTGGACAAGTTTTGTTATTTGGGCAGCTTACCCGGTGGACGAATCGCAGGTGAAGTTCGGCTTACCCACAGAAGGCTCGGTTGTCATTTAACAACTTGATACATCTTTGGCGTCGTTTGACAAACTTGAAGAAGTTTTCAAATAATACATCTGGGAGAACATCCAGACGGTGATGGCCCAGTAGTTACGTCACCAAGTTATCACCATGCAGGACGTGTGTTCGAATCCCACCAACATCGTCTGACTTTCACCATTGTTTGTTCTATGGTGACCATTTGATTGATCACTTTCTTATTGTTAAAATATTGTACAATTACGTATTCAAAAAAGTAAAAATGATTTAAAAATTGTTTTCCGAAGTTTAAATTATTTCTTCCTGACAGCAATCTATCTCTTGCAAATTTAGGAATAGGTTTCGATCTTTTTGAAGGCAACTTTGAAAAAAAACTTCATGATTTATATGAAAGAATGCATAGGATGTTTGTTGGTATAACTTCTGCGGTTGCCGTTCATTGTAATCCGCAATTTTAGTAATCGCTCTTATTCATGTCTTCTTCGGCCAGACAAATCCTCCCCTCCTCTACCGTTAGGCAACTCTTATGTGCCGTATTGGTTTGAAATACGTGTCGGTGTATCCTATTGGTCATTTTGAACCAAGAAAATGTTTCTATCACCCCCAATTTGATCGAAAGAACATTGCGTCAGTGATCGGGCAGAATGTGTTAACGTGCACCTGAAACGGTGGATCTTTAAAACGGGGAAAAAGTACCAGTGCTCATCACTGCTTGGTACCATTCCCTGAACACTAATTGATGCTACTAACTATTTATTGAGATTTCAAGTAGTAAACCAAATTTCATATTCGCATAGAAAATGCACCCATTGAAAATATTGTCCATTCGAAAAAGTGAAACCGACTAATGGTGAGAGCTGAACGAGTCAGGCAGCTGCACTATGACCTCGTTTTTTATGGTTGACAATAGATGAGTCACCTGTGTGAACTCGGTTGGACTAGCATATTCCAACTGAAAAGTAATTCTTCGATGCATCAGAAGATAATCGGACATTGTGTCAGATTCATTTGCGTGATTATCGACACCCTCAGCCTTCGCTGATATCGATCTGCCCCTGTCCAACCCCCTTACCTGAATCAATTCACCCGGATAGGAGTGTAATTCCGAATCGGTCATTTTGTTCGGTATGGATGCCAACTCGTCGAAACTGGGTTCCCAAATGGACGGATCCCGTATCGTGGCTGAACGTCGTCGTGTCCGTGTACGATTTGTGCCACAAATCGGTAAACATTCGGACCACACGCTCCAATGATCAGCCTGTGGAAAACGGAGAAAAAAGAGGGGGCAACAAGAGTCCCCCAAAATGCATCAATCAATAGCACACGTTCGAAGATCAAATGAAATGTTTCAAACAGAAATGCGAACAAGAGATTAGCGCTTTGATCCATTGGACGTTTTGAGCGAGGGTTGTTTATCAAAGAGATGTGATACGTGGGACAGTGATCTACTTTGCGGCCATAGTTCCGAAAATCATCATAGCAAACACAAATTTTGGATATTGCATTTTCAACCAAAAAGTAAAATGTATATACCTCGCGGGAGACTGAAAAAAGTGGAACCGAATAAGAAAATAAAACGACGGTTTAAACGATTCGTAATGAACAGCTATTAGTTTTCACATAAAGGGACGATGAATAATGTCTTCGAAAGCCTCAGAATAGGTGTTGCGTGTAGCTTGTAATCTCTACCTTGCTAGGCGTGAAATGCTGTCATACCATCAAGCGTCTCAACCAACCCCTGCTGAAGAAGTCCTACTTACTGCTTTTCTCGCAGCGGTGTTTTTCCATCAAGTGAGAGGTTGGGGCTACAACCGGGTTGGTGAACCATTGGCATTTCACTTAGGAGATTTGGTCAAAAATCCCTGATTCCAAACCAAACATGAGGAGGCATACGAAACACACACCACCAGGTCGGTTGGATATCGAGGTATATTGGGCACCTTGGACGTTTGACCCCTTCCAAAGGACGTATGATCCGATGAACTGGATACCGGCCCCCAATGGATTGCGGTTTTTACAAACCGCCCCGCTGCCTTGTGGGTCTGGTTTTCTAGCAAAAAGGCCTCGGGTGGGGACCCCGAGGAAACCTGCGGGTTAGGAAAGCTAAATGCTACCAGGCGCGTCTCTTGTTTGTGAATACGGGGATATCTTCACGGAAGTAGGTTAGCTGTGAATAAGTAATGGCATACCGCAACAAATAAGCAGTTGTGAACAAACATCGGCGGATGCACTACCAGGGTGTGCAAGGGTTTGATACTGATCATCTATCTCCTGTTTAAAAGCCATATAAGCACAATGACGGTATCGTGACAAAGGTCTATGTGATTAACCTTTTAAAACTAAAGTCGTTGATCCCCTATCTTCTGAGATGAGGGATTACTTCCTGTTGCCTAGCAGTTCGTTTTTGGTTGTGCAAAGAGTAGAGGTTCCTCTTGAAAATAGAAATCGCCGAGTGATGCTGGGGACGTCTCTCGTACCAAACTCACAAGGAACTTCATGATCATGATCATGTTTGGAGCTGGCTTATCCTTTACAACGAGCCAGCCGCAGTAAAGTAAATTGAGTAATTAAAATAGATTGAGAGGTTTGCGGCTGTTGGTAACAGNCATCCAATTGGGAGTTTAGACCCAAGTAACTTAGGCATGTTGTAATGAAGGAGTTACGGCGGCACTTTGATTCAAATTTAGCCACACCTTCTTGCCATTTTTATGTAATTTGTTGCGTGCAGGAAATTTGAGAACTAAATCAAGTCGAACTAATAATTGTACAAAAGCAATGACTACAATAAATTTCATTTTGTGCAAGCCTCCTTACTCGACGTTCACACTGTGGTCCATCATAGCCCGGATTGCACACACAAATACTGGTCGAATTGGACTCTGCCGAGGCCACACAAGTGCCGTGCAAACACAATCGATCGTCACACGGTCCGGTTCGTTTTAAACAATTGGGCATCGGATGTGAGGTGTCCTCGGTGAACGGGGGCTGACATTGACATCGATAACCAGTTGTGCCCAATGAAGGAATGCATTTGGAATGAATGAACACCTCTTTAGTTTTGGGCTGCCCGTCCGGATAGTCCATATCATCCGGGTTTTCCACGGTTTCTGTGCGTGTTTGCAATCCGGACATGTTCACATTGCACATTTCCATGCCGGAAGCCACTTTCCTACAGGTTTATGAGTGTGAAACGCAAAGACAAAAATAAGTAGTTCCTGCAAATATCGCTTTGCATCATATTGATCTAGGCCTTCCGCGTTGCAACTTCACGTTGGTTTTGGAAACAAGCAATCAATCGAGTATTGAGAGCACCGACGGCTTTCGAAAATCACACAGTGAATCACGGAATGTGGAGAATAAATCGAACGCATACAACCCAGTGAAGTGTACACCGTGTTCGGGGATTTGTTGCGACCAGTATCATTCAAAATAGTAATCCGCTAATAGCATCAATGAAACCAGATATGGAATGCATCAGTTCGCAAAAAATCTAATTGTTATACGAACTAAGAAATTGCGAAAGAACCAAACTTAGAAGTTAAATCACTCGTTCTCCCTTTCCCCATCGTATTAAAACCGAAGGAAGACACGTGTCGCGAGATGTTAACCTTTCGTTTAATTTTCTGAATCGCTGAGGTGAAACAACAAAAAATCGCATTTATGGCACATTGGATTCTTAAAGCCTGGTGGACAGATATGTACACGTATAAAGGGGCTATTGAAATTCAAAACAATGAATCAAGTTCATGGCAAATGAATTGATTGAATCAACAACTTTTGGGCGCCAAAAATTGTCCCTTGCAGTTAGGTACCGCGGGTTTGAAAAAGGAAGCGGGATTCAGCATGTGTTTGTCCGTCATATGGTGTTTTGCAATAGATAACCCCGGGTTACATGTGATCGCATGGACACTGGGTGTTGGTCGCATCATCGACTTCACCCAACCACTTTGAAATGTGTTCGGCCATTAACTAGGATTCACAGATCAGCTTCGGCTGCAGTTTCTACAACCAGTAACCATGCCATATAGTGCGCCGGTTTTGATTCCTGTCTTTTGCATGTCCATTTGGATGAACAATGAAAGAAAAACAAGAAAAGTTTTAAGTTGGATCGAGGAGAAAATTCAGAATATCATTGCACCTTTTTTGCAGAGAAATCGATAAGATGCACGAACGCCACTGTTTGCGACACCCAGCCAAATCACTCAGTGTCTCTAACCATGGGGTATGATAAGACCGAGGTCCCCATTCAGTGAACCTAACGGGACCTATGTGAACCAGAATCCTGGTTAAGGTTTTCATACCCTCCCTCCAGGTCTTAGTTTGACCCCCTTGGCTTCATTTCACCCACTACTTACCGAGGAGAAAATAACTCGCCATGGCAACCTATCTGGTGACATGGGTAACACATGTCCCAACCAACGTAATCTATGGAGGTCGACCACCTGCTCCAGTGGGCGACCGCAATCACGTAAAACTCTGTATCCAACCTCAAAATTGCTCGTCCGGCTGTCCCACCAGATTCGTGCAATACTGCGTAGACAGCGGTGTTCGAACACCGACAGTCTATCTTTATTCTGACTCCTTAATGGTCAAGTTTCTGCGCCATATAGCAGAACTGACCAACTGCAGCAGCATACACGCGACCCTTCACAGACAGTCGGATGTCGCCACGTTGCCACAGATGTCTCAGTTCGAATTTATACTATAAATGTGCTTGTTTTTTTACATCAGCCATTGAGATATATATGTTTTCTTTCGGTATTGACAACCTTAGAACGTGATCAATGATCAAAACGGAGCTGAATGAGGAAAGAGTAAAATAAATAAAAGTATTATGTTGGGATTGTAAAAATTTCTGTAACCTCAGTGGGATTCGAACTCACGCATGGACGTTGCCTAAGCTTTTTCTACAGAGCGCGCTCCACCAACTGAGCTACGAGGCCAAATCGAATGTGAAACTGACATTATGATTCACCAAATGATAGCGCTCTAATTTCCTAGCCTTAACCGACATTCGCACTGAGCCTCGGACAAAAGCTAAACACAACCAATATCATTTAAACCCGGCACCGCGGTTTTCATAATTTCCTGTCCCGTAAAAAATGACAAACTAACCCACAAAAAAATATCAAAAAGTGTACGGTTAAGCACACCCAGTTATCTATTATTTTCGTGACATTCACATCATGCTTGTCCGCAAGCAGGTGTTATATATATATATATATATATATATATATATCNTTCTCTAACAGAAGTCTAGAATTTACATAAGATCGTCGCTACGAATACTCAATACCTTAAACTCAGCACCAATCTGTCCACTTGTCGAAACACTGACGCTTAAACAGTAATCATTCCTTCCCTGTGATGTTCACGTTTCAGTATCCAAACAGGGACTTATGTAGCTCAGAGCAGACCTACCAGGGCCAATTGAATGTATTGAAACAACCAATGAAAATTCACTTTTTCCGTCTTTTTTTCTGTCATCTTCCTGCTACAATTAATTTCAGTTTACATGGATGCTTAGCCCACTGCCATTCTTAAAATGCGCAGTCATTCCATCNTGGACAATGCTCACGAATAAAAGAGTTCTAATTGAATAAATTGCAGCATGAGCAACAATACCATGCTGGACACTGTGTTCCGTTTCCAATCTTCTCCTGGAATTGACTGAGACCACATACCACGGTACCATGGTGCCAATACTCAAATGAAAAAACCGCAGAAGCAATGAAAGAAACAAACATCACAGTCACATATATTTATAATGTTTATGATCATCAATCGCGTATTAACATTTAAAAGTGAAAATTCGTTATGTATATAGTAAATAAAGCGTGAACTAGAACGGTAGGAAGTACTGGACAAGCTGCTTCAACCTTGTTGGGTCTCATCAACAGCAGTGAGCGAATCCATCGACCCAACTGGGGACCGAACCCCGGACCTGACAGGCAGAACGCAGGCATGCTACCCACTCGGAAAGAGAAATGGAAAATGAAAAACGGTCTGATCAACTACTGGGTGACCTGTCAGATCCGGGGTTCGATCCCCAGTTGGGTCGATAAATTTGCTTACTGCTAGTGAGACCCATCTGGGTCGAATCAGCTGTCCAGTGCTTCCAAGCTTTTCGGTTCACACTTAAATTGCCATATACCCGAAGAACTTCCACTTCGAAATTGAAACAAATTCTCCATTACTCACATATTAGTGTAATTAATATGGCATTATTATGGCTTTTACTTGGATATATATACATATATGTACACATTGATATATATAGATATAAATAAGCAAAGCATTCTCTCACCTAGTGCTGCTTTAACTATATGTTCTCTGTCTTTAGCACCACAACAATTAAACGGTTCTGTGTGCTTGTGCACAGCTGTCTCCTGACAATTTGTCATTTTTGGTTTACCGAGGCCTACTTGAAGAGACAGCTTACAAGAGAACTCAGCCGACCATAGAACAGTTTCCTGCTTGCACTTAACTTTGCTTATAATGTGCATTCTAGTCTCGCATTGTAGTTAGCGATGAACCATCGCATTTATTGGTTACAAGACGCTGAGCGCACCCCCGTTTGGTGTGTATAAAGTAACTACTTGATTTGGATATCTTTTCCGAAGTAATGGACGATAGTTTCAGTTTCAGTTTTACAACTATTAACCATGCACTTTCGTGCGCCGGTTTTGGTTGCTGTCTTTTGGTTGCCCATTTGGATAAAAGAGCGAAATGAAGATTGGAATGTCGAAGCAAATTCAAGCAGAAGATGGGGAATACATATAGAGTTGTGTTAGAAAAATAACGAGTGGATGCACGAGCGC